ATGTGGGCGGGGCTTCGGGCTGCCAGCTGGTTCCAGCGTTCTTTCCAGGGCGTGGGCCGGCTCGCGGGACCAGGTGAGATGTGGGGGTATGAGGAGTTGGGAGTCGGACACTCACATCCTTGAAGTCCCGGAAGGGCACGAACTGGACGATGTCGCGGGCTGCGGGCACCCCTCGAGGGCAGCGCAAGGGACCCTCGTCGCCGTCCAGCAGCCGCATGTCGGAGAAGTCTGCATTGCCCACGCCCACGATGATGATGGACATGGGCAGGCGGGAAGCGCGCACGATGGCCGTGCGGGTCTCGGCCATGTCGCTGACCACGCCGTCTGTGAGCACCAGCAGCACCGAGTACTTCTGAGGGCAGGTGGCGGGGAGGAAGGGTAGGCTCTTAGCAAGGGCATTGGTCCCTGCGCCCAGCCCAGGCCCTGTCTCTGGCCCCACCCAAAGGTTGGTTGCCTGCTTCCTCTCCTCACCGTGGCCTGGCCGGTGCTTTGCTCCCGCTGGGCTGGCTCGGCCACTCGGTTGATGATGGGGGCCACATTGGTGGGGCCGTAGAGCTGGATCTGGGGCAGGCAACGGCGGTAGGAGGTGATGACCCCCGAGATCTCTGTAGGCAGAGATGAAGCTGTCAGACATTAGCAAGGAGCCCTTCCTGATACCTCTTAAAGCAAGGAGACGTCCTGCCCCCTCAACTCCTAGTTCCTAAGGTGGATGGTCCAGGCACTGGGGCAGTTGGGTAGGTAGATGCTGGGCTTGGGTCTGGAAGTCTTACCAAAGGAAGACAGACCCTGAATGGGTACAGGGGAATGCAATCTGTGCTCTGGCATGGGGGGTAAGTAGTGCGCAGCAAGCTGTATGGGGGGAGGGAGGCAGGGCTGGTGGGAACCTCCCCTCTTACCTTCACATTCAGGATTTTCTGGATCAAAGTTGATAGCAAAGTCATGGGACACCTGTGAGGGTAAGGCGGGAACAAGGGGATCATTCCTACCTGTCTCATTCTCCCACCATTTCCTCCCTTCTCTTGGCACCCAGCCTACC